AGGCCATCCAGCTCTTCATACAAGGTATACGGGTCATTCGGCCACTGTAACCTCCCCAACTCTCCACTCACTGCCCAAACATCCCGTAGTCGATCAAAACTCTTGTTTCGCGCGACCAGTCTGTCAACAAGCCCTTCTAAGTCATCCGGGTTACCTCGCCTGACCTTCCTGATGTGTTCACGCCACACAGGGGACGCAATCCCACTCACCACTTCTACTAGTAAACCCACGCTTGGTCGTTCTGCATCTATTCTCAAAGCGACGTCATCGATAATCTTATCCAGCTCTCGCTCCGACTTCGGATCAAACGTCAGACCTTCTACCCTAGACATACAGCTTCGACCAGTGGTGGTCTGTCGTAGCCGTGTGTCGTCATTTGTCGTGTGCACGTCGCGCCCACGGGCCGTAAATTTTTAGGGTAAAAGGGGGGACGGAAAACAAGAATAAACAATGGTCGAGTCTATCACTTGCGAGCACGACGGCGGCCTGATTTCAGACACGGATGACCTGCGCGGTTCTGCTGGCGACAGAACAGAGTGGTGGTGTCGGCAGGGAACCAGTGCGTGGAGGTAACTCAAATTGGGCGGTAGCTCAATCCAAGGGCGACGAAGCTGAATATCGTTGCGCAGGCACGGTCTCGGTTTTACAAGCCGAAAGATGATGCCAAGCGGGCTGGGTCGTATGAGTAGTAGTTAACCCAAAGGTCGAAGCTGTATGTCTAGGATAGAAGGTCTGACGTTTGATGCGAAGTCGGAGAGAGAGCTAGACAAGATTATCGATGACGTCGCTTTGAGAATAGATACAGAACGACCAAGCGTAAGTTTACTAGTAGAAGTGTTGAGTCCGTCCGGCATTTTTCTGGTAGGAAAAGCCGTCTGTTCTTAGTCGCAAAAAGCAGTCCGCCAAGCACTCCCCTGGTCTGTCGTAGACGAGCATCGTCTCTTGTCGGGTGCGTGTTGTGTCTAGACGGTTACCATGGTAGCAGCAACCACACCCGAGCACGACGGCCTAATGAGCGGCATAAAGGAACTGCACCGACCCGCGAGTGACGAACTAAAGTGGTGGTATCGGCGCGGACCGGTTGAGGTGGCCGAAATTGGGTCTGTTGGGTATCCTGGCGGAGAGGCGCGGTTTCGGTTCTGCAAACCGAATGAAGGTGCTAAGCAAGTAGGGTCGCACGAGTATGAGCTAACCCGTCGGAGTTGCATGTCTAGGGTAGAGGGTCTAACGTTTGATCCGAAGTCGGAGAGCGAACCAGACAAGGTCGTTGACGACGTTGCTTTGAGAATAGGATGTGTAGGCACGCAGATTGGCATTGCTGTTGGACGGATGAGTATGTTTTGTCGTTGATGCAGAGCAAGATCCCGCGCAATGAGGACAGGAGTGCTGATGACTTCGCGGACCTAGAGGACCTATTGCAACGGAAAAGCGGATAGAGTCACGAAGGGAGTGATGCTGAACTAAGTGGTAGTCGACTTCGAAGCACTTTTAGACACGGGCGCGACTACGTCTATCCCCCTACCGGCCTGGCTCGTCAAGTGGGTGTAGAGGAGGTTGGCGCTGGTGCCATCAGAGGTTTGTTTACCAGGCAGCAAGTGCGTTGTTCAAGGCGATGTTGGCTACCGAAGACCGTCAGGTGGATACTAGCGAGGACCTAAAGCGCGATTACTTGATACCGGGGGGTACCGGACGTGACTGCGCTAGGCATCTTTGATGCGTGTAAGTGTCAGTTCCATGTGGAAAGCTGTTAAAAGGTTAATGTGGTTCACTGGTGGAGGAGGAGAAGTCAGACCAAGACTTGTTGGCAAGTGCAAACGATCTAAAAACGGGTATGATGTCCCATCTAGAGGTTGCCGTCAGAGGGAGGCTTTGGGACGTGTTGCAGAAACACTCGAAGTGTTACGACCAAGGACTGGCAGAACACGGCATAGTGTAGAGTTCGAAGTACACGGGAAGCCGGTGAAGCACACGTTGAGGTCGCTAAGACCGGAGTCGCGAGAGGAACTACCGAACCTTGAACAAGGGAATGACCTTAAAGGTTTATCCGATACCATTGCAGCAATAATATTGGGTAGGCCTTTAAGGTCATTCCCTTGTTCAAGGTTCGGTGGTCAATCTACAGCTGGCGGCGGATCACAAGTATTACGTGTGTCTAGACTGTAATGATGGCTTTTGGAATGTACCCCTGGGTACGGAAAGGCTACAGTTTACTGTCGGCAGCGTCGCATAGGGGTACATTCGAATGCGCCGTGATTCCGTTTGGTGTTGGGAACTCACCTATCCTGTTTCAGCAGGCAGGTGATGGATCGCGTCTTCGAAGGCCTCATAGGGATAGATGTCGTTGTTTGGACGAGGTGCTCGGGAGGTGGTCGGGAGGAAGGTTTGCTTCTTAAGCTGAAGAAGAGCGAATACGTCAAGCGAGAAGCGAAGCTGTTGGGGTTCATTGTGAGCGAGAAAGGCATCAAGCTGGATCCGAAGAAGGTAATCGACCTGATGAGAGTGCACGCGCCGTGCAATGTAAGGGAGCTGAGTTCTGAAGAAGGCTGAGTTCGTTTGGAATGAGGAACAGGAACAGGAATTCCAGAGCATCAAGAGGTCAGTGGCCGAGTATTGCTAGCTGCGCCGACGGATCTTGGAGAGTTCGTGCTCACAACCGACGCCGATGATCGGGCGATTGGTGCTATGCTGGAACAGAGGCAAACCCGGGGATGTGTTCATATCGAGTTTGGTAGCAAAAAGCTGGACGAGTGTCAACAGTGGTGGGACACGCAAGAAAGGAAGTTGTACGCCGTGAGGGTCTTCGTGGAGGGATGGCAGGACTACTTCTGTGCTGCGTCGTTCGTCATCCGGACTGACCATCAGAACGTGTTGTACTTGGCCAATTCTATTGAAGGAAAGCTACCAAGGTGGTCGTTGTTCATCCAGCAGTTCGACTTTAAGATAGAGTACTTGAAGGTACCGAGAATGTGGTGGCAGGCTGGTTGTCCAGGGTTAAGCTACGGGAAGACGTTGGGAAGGATATGTTGGTAGGTCGTATCCAGATGAACCCGGAGTCAAGAACTGCGTGCAGTGCAGAGAAACGACAGGACGAGGACATGCCAGTGTCTCTGGTTGAAAGGTCGAAGAGGTTAGCCAAAGAAGACGAAAGTGTGCGGAAGCGCATCCATAGAGCACCGAATGGGCTGTGGGTAAGGACTCACACTGGCAATGTTTATGTGCCGTCAACATGGCCGAGTTGGAGGACATCCGGGGGCAGAAAGGATGCCGAGGCTAGTCACTAAGTACGTTTGGTGGCCGGGCATAATCAAGGACGTGGAGGACTTCTGTCGAGACTGGCTCTGTCGTCGTTTGCTTAGCGCACTAGTGGCTGTGTCGAGGCCCGCGACCCTGGACAGAGACTGTTTCAATGAGTTAGTTTCACTGGACTTGATTGGGTCGAGGGCTGTGGCTGGAGAAGTTTTTATCTGGTAGTGGTCGTCGATCACGCGACTCGGTTCATGGTAGCTTCAGTGGTTACTGACAAGAGAGCGTTAACGGTAGCAGAAGTCTTCAGAGACTGCAGGCTGTATGTGACGGCTCCGTACCGACCTCAGGGTAACGGTGTTAACGAGTCTAGTCACCGAAAGCTGTCGGAGGCTTTGCACGGAGCGGATGTTCGGAGTGGTTCGGAGTTGCGCGAGGCTGTGAGTTTTGCTCTGACCGCACAGAACAACATCCCGGACGGGGCAACAGGGCTGGCACCAGTAATGGCGTTGATAGGGAGTGACGCGAGGTAGCTGCCTTTGATGCGGCCGGAAGCTGTAAGAGTAGGTGCACTTCTGGAGTTGCGTTTCCCAACTACGCTGAAATATCTGTCAGTGGGTATGACAGGCGGAGAAGAGCTTGGTGGTAACGAAAATAAGCGCGACATCGCGGTTGGTGACGTGGTGCTGTACGTGGTTACTGAGTGGTCGCTGGAGACTAATAGAGGGTCACCGTCGGTTTTCATGAAGGCCCACAAGTAGTCGGCGCCGTGTCAGGTGGTTGCAAAAGAGCAAACCACGCTGCATGTGCAACCTGTTGGGTTCCAACGCGGCGTGAGCGTGGTCAGGGTTTCTGCCGCGGAGGCTAGGTATTGGATCCGCGGAGTGCCGCAGCCTCAGAGGATCCCGGAATTGTTGAGAACCACGGAGGAAGTAGTGGGTTCTTGTGAAGTCCCTAGGAAACGAATGCGCGTGTAGACGATGACGGAGGAGTTTTTTTGGAATGGACCGGAGGGGATAACGGTTATCACTTAGCACGGCAGCACACTTGTGACGGCTCATTAAGCGGCACAGAGGAACTACCCCGGCCCGTGAGTGACGAACCAACTCTCCCTACGTAGTGGTCTTATTAGCGTTATGTCTCGCATACCTAGGTCTTTTTTAAGGCAGGTGGGTGTCTATTGACAAGTGGGTATCGGTTGCAACACCAATCGAAACACTAGACTACTCGCTCCAGTGGTTGGCGGCTTAAGTAACGACAAATGGACTTGGAATGTCGATAGCTTGTCCCCGAATCCGTGGAACGTGGACGACCGAATTGGCGAAGAACAAGAGCTCGGGGTTTGGAAGATATGACCGAGATGGACCGAGATGGACCGAGATGGACCGAGAAGGCGAACCGGAAGCAAGTTTTACGCTTTCCAACCGACTTCGTGCATCATATCGCCTCGCGTGGGATACTTGTAAGTGCGTGGTGTCATTTTTTTCCTAAAATAATGAAGAGCAATTGTTTTTCCAGAGGGTCACATCAATTCGGATTGAACGTGGTTGCCACAGCCCTGTGCGCGAAGCCTACGAGTTGTTCGTCTGGTGGCGAAGGATGCGACTACGAGTTAGTCACTGTTATGTTTGATACTACGGAAAGAATCCGATCGGGCGCTGCGAAGTTCCTGGAGTTGCTAGTTGCTTTACCAAAATCCCGGCAACACGAGGAGGGCCATCCCTGGCCATGGAATCGAATTCAGCTCAAGAGCGACTCTTTGTTGAATTGGGAGGCCGGGATCGAAGCATGGGCTAAGTTTGTTGACTTCGCGACTGTCGATATTTTCAGCCAGCTTCCAGAGGACGCTCAGGGTGACCCTGCCATCCGCGCTGAGTGTGCAAAAGATATAGCTGGTGCTTACTTCGGTGCGGTAGACGCGTACTGGAAATCAGTAGACAAACCGCAACTAGAAATGCTAACGACAAAAATTGTGAGACGCCGAAATGCCGCTGGCGAACGCTTCTGGAATGAACCGCAAACCATCACCCTAACACCGTGGTTAACCCAGTCGGATAGAGAGCAGTTGAATGCGGTAAACATGGTTCCAATTTACTCGAAGGACAGTGAACTAATTTCGCGTGCTTCTAATTCAACGGTGCGCCGTCGGAGGCGGTCATTCAATAGGTCAAGGACGGTCACGTACACTCGGACGACATAGAAGACGAACCACTAGACCGTCGGTACATACATTCGGTAGTACACACAATCGGTACATACCACTCCACTCTCGTGCGGATATAACGACTTGTTTGGTCAAGAATATCTGGGGGTTTTTGCGCGCGATCGCGCGCACACACACAAGCATGGGACATATGAAACTAATTACTCACAGCCACCAAGCCGTTCCAGTGAAACCGTTTCACTCAAACCATCCATTCAATCAACCCTGCACTCTTGGGGTTCGCAAGCGGCGAGAAAGTTACAAGAATGCGAGCTCCCGCTCTCTGTTACAGGGGGCGGGCGGGGATTAAATTAAATATTGATGAAGAGCATTTCTTCGCAGGTGTCTCGTGGATTCGATTTAAATGTGGCGGAGAGAGCTGGGTACGTGGACATGGACACGGGCAATTTGGTTGGAGATGGTTGTTGTTTCTATGAGCTAGTCACTGCCGTGGTTGGTTCTGCGCAAGATGTGCGTGACGGCATTGGCCACCCTCTGGAGCTGGTCGTTGCTATACCGAAATTCATGTATGACCGCGAGAAGGATGAGGTTAGTAGTTATCGTTGGTTCGATGCTCCGAACCGAATGCAGCTCAAGGGTAACTCCGTAGTAAATTGGAAAGCCGGGATCCATGTATGGACCACGTTCGTCGAGTCAGCCACTGACAGAATTCTTCGCGATCGTCTTTTTCTATTGGATCCGCAAAAAGTTTCCAAGATCCAATCTGACTTAATGAATGACCTAGCCGGCCCTTACGTCCGTGCTGTAAAGGAGCATAGGAAAATAAAGAACTGTCAACGTAAACCACTAAGTATTAAATTTACCAGTCGTCAAAAAATAGACGTCGAATGCTTCTGGAATGGATCGCAAACCATGACACAAACATTGGCGTTAACCACACCACCGTCGACAACCACATCGTCGTTAACCACGGTCAAGGAGGAGCAGTGGAGCGCGATAGACATGGTTCCACCATACTCGGAGGACAATGAACGATTCCTGTTTGGTATCCGAGGAACTTCTAAATCCGACCTCCGCTATCGGGGCCAACGACGAAGAAGAAGCTCTAACGGGTCAGGTTAGGATTCGAGCCTTCGGCCGGGACCGTTTTTTTGAGTCATACACTGCTTCCGCCATGCTTTCCGATTAGTTGGATCCACTCCAACCCGGCGGTGTCATAGGACCCATTCCAACTGCGGATTCGTCTTCGTACCTGAGTGAGGCAGGTCCCTTCGTCGCCCTCTGACAGAAGTGTTACGCTTATGAGCTGTCCATTTCCTCGATCTGGCCATCGCTCCTCGATCTGGCCATCGCTCCTCCACTAGATGACTTTCTCGAACAGCACTGTCTTATAGAACTCCCGAAAATGCAACAACTTTATCGAACACAACTTCTCAACATATCTTTGTGCCTGGAGCGAGGGTGGTCGCGTAGTGGTCATTTAGCCGCGTTGCTTCGACTGAGGCTCGTTTAGAAGGCCCCTGGCACGTCCCGTACTCCTCTGTCTCCCGCAGGCACCGGTTCACGGCCAACTCTTACAAACTATGCAGACACCTCCCCCGTCCATCACCACTGGCTCCGCACGTTTTCGGACTCGGGCTCGTGCTCCACAGATTCGTTCGCGACCCCGAGCCATCCCATGTTCAGGCACGTGTGCGAGTGGACATCTTTTGGGCTTAGACACCCCCACCAATCCGCAGCTCTCTCCCGCCAGTTCTGCTTACCAAAATTGACCCACTTGAAAATATAACGCCGCAGTCTTCGCCATTGCTGACTCCACCTCCGACGATCTGCTCCGACCATCCATCTTCAACCCACGTCATCGGAGTATGAACCCGGCCCATCTCGTGTGTGAGCTGGTTGTGACCCGAGGGCTGAATGGGGTGGCAAGGTGTAGAGGGTTCACGCCATGCAAAAATAACTCTACTGAAGGCGACCGACGGATCCCAATCGCACACCCTGACGGCTTAACACACCCTCGCGACCGGCCCTGTCGGGTCGCTGCTAGAACTACAGCTTCCCAACCTTGCTGTACAACCGAGGCGCTTCCGTCGGAACACCGGGCGGGGGCTACTCGCCACCCGGTGCCTGTGCTTCGTCCAAGCCCCCAGCTGACCTTCACCCCCCGACCCGTTTCTCTGAACATCCGGCAAGTCTCGGCCACCCGCGCGCGAACTTGGTACCCGTAGTCGTGATCTGGACCCGCCGCGTGCTCGGGGCAGGCGACGCGGCGTCGTAATGCACACACGTGTGCGTCGACGAAATGTATTCAGTTTATTGCACTTAGTTGATTAGTTGATTCGGTGCGGGATGCGAGTGTTGTCTAGTATGTTAGCTCTGGCGGCGACGGCCGTGGGGCGGGCGAGCGAAGGTTCGGAGGTGAGTGAGGACCCGTTGGTGGTGATATATTACGAGAATTGGGCTGGGTGGGTGCGCGAGTTTTCGCCGTCTACTTTAGAGAAGAACATTTTGTCAAGAGGGATGCCGGTGAGGAACTTTGTACTGAATTACGCGTTCTATACTTGGAATCCTGAAGAGTGTTCGGTTCAGCCTGTGGACACAGTGGATCTACAGAAGGGTGACCATGGAGGGTGGACAGCGGATGACTGGAACATTCAAGTAAACGAGTCGTGGGAGACGGCGAACCCTGCGGGTGGGCACTTACCAGCATTCATGATGATCAAATCTAAGTATCCTCATATCAAGCTGCTACCCTCTATCGGTGGTTGGTCTCGGTCGGGCACGTTCCATGATTGTCTGATTAACAAGTCTGATGTCATGCTGCAGTCGCTGTCCGACTTTGTGATCGCCTGGGGTTGGGATGGGGTCGACTTCGACTGGGAGTACCCTAACTGTGATGGCGCACCTTGCGGCTGCCAGAACGAGGCCGTTTGTCTTGACGGGACCGGACTCAGTAATAAAGCCGGTGCCGGCGACTGGGACCGTTACACGGCGTGGTTGAAGAAGGTGCGCAGCAAGTTCAATGAGCTAGAGGACGAGCTCGGCCGGCGCCTGTATATTACGGCTGCACTTGGCATGAACCCGAAACTGATTGACGGTAATAATGCCCAATGGAGTGTAGGCACGCCAATCGAGTTTGTTTGCGATGAAGACGTCTTCGACTGGGTTAACTTGATGACGTACGACTTCTTCGGACCCTGGGCGGCGATTACGGGGCCACTGGCACCGCTCTATCCCAACCCTGAGGCGCCAGTGGACCAAATGTCCATCCAGGAGTCGTTGGACAAGATTCTCGCGCGTTGCTCCAAGCCGTACAAACTGACCATGGGACTGGCCACCTACGGAAAGTCCTGGCAGAGTGTGCCAAAGACCGGAACCGTACCCGGACTCTGGCAAGAGTCCACCGCCACAACCTACCCCGCAGGCGGAACATGGGAACTGGGCACGCTTTCCTGGTTTGATATTAAGAACAACATATTGCCAAAGTGCACACGCACCTGGGACGACGTCTCCAAGACACCCACGCTTTATTGTGACTCCATGCCCGCAGCCAGCTCCATTCCTTATGACCCCAATACCGGCCCCGTCCCGCGTTCTCAGACCAACGTATTCATCACTTACGAAGACGGCGAGTCCTGGAAGTACAAAATGCAATATGCCCGGAGTAAGGGTATGGGAGGCGCCATCATCTGGGCGGCCTCCGACGTTGGCAGTGGCCAATCCTACTCACCCGAGTCCGCGGCCGATCTCTTCCAAGGCCTCTTTGAAGGCTGGACAGGCAATCCCGTCACCATTGGCAGTCCCCAAACCAACTCGTTCAAATTCGAACCCATCAAACGCTGGGATACCTACCCCTGCCCTCTTGCCGACTGGTACGTAAGCAACGACCAACCCATCGATGTCAGCAGATGCAGCAGCGCAACCTTCTCACCCAAAAGCACCTACTTCGTCGCGAAGGGCTCTGGAACCACCTCCGATATTGGCAAGAACAACATCATGATAGTACCCACCGGCGGAGACACTACTCAACAGACCACTACTCCAAAGCCGACTACGACCACCCCGAGGATGACCACGAGCACGACCACGACCACCATCCCGAGGCCTACCATGCCCACTACCGCGGCACCGGTGCCTACCACCCCAGCTCAAGTGCCTACCACCCCAGCTCAAGCACCGACTACACCCGCCGCGACGATGACTACTCGCGCAACCCAAGCCTCTACCACCACCAAGGCGCATCCTAAATGCATTTCGAAGCCCAGCCGGAATACGACTCCCGCGCCTGTAGCGTCTTCCACTTCTCTTGAGCACACAGAATGCCCTCTACCACCTATCAATGTGCCCACTGGGACTCCCCCGCCTCCAACTACGACCACGACCAGAACAACAACTTCGACGAATGCAGGACTGGACTACCAGGCTATGGCAAAGGGCTGCGAAACTCTTTTGGCTGCCACAAAGGACATGTGGAAGGATATTTGCAAAAACTACTGCGTTCTGTATGTCCCTGGAGGGTCTCTTGGAGTGTGGTGTGACTCGCCAACGTCGTCATTGGATTTGGCCAAATGCGTGACTTCGCAATTTGATTTCTGTGTCATCAAGAACTAATCAGAAGAACAGAGAGACCCGCCTGACCTTGAGCGTTTCCAGAATGGGATTACCCCATGGGATTACCCCATGGGACTACCCCACTACCCCATGGGACTACCCCATGGGACTACCCCATGGGATTACCCCATGGGACTACCCCATGGACTACTACATAGTACAGAGTTGTGAAACACAAGATTCCTTTCGGAGTTACAGGCCACCAAACACATTACCGAACATTGATGGCCCAAAGCGCATTGGACCGACACAATTGGTGTGCCTGAACACGCGGTGTGCCTGAACAAGGTACACATTGTCAAGGTATAATTTTTTTATTGAAATTTATTTTATTTGTCAATATTTAATAAGACGTGAGACCACGCATCAGCCATACAGCCAGCCATTACTGCGACATTATCTAGGCTGCTAGGGAAACGTCCACTTGGGCTGAATGTAAACACACACTCACTGAATGCTTGATGGGTGATGGGGAGACCCAGCCAGGGCTAGTCAGAAAAGAGGGTTAAGGTCAGACCGTGTCTGCCAGTGTTGTCATTTATCTCGTCTTGAGGGCGGCGTGGCCTTTCTCCTTGATGTGTTTCATCAGTTTTGACCTCGAAGGAAAGACTACCCCGCATATTTTGCATTTCTCATGCCCAGGAGGCAGCGGAGCCTCTGGTTCATCAGCTTTCCGTCGTCGGCGTTTTTTATCTTTGGCAGCGGAAATAGCAGCTGGCTCAGGAGCAGTTTTAGTTGTGCCAAAGGCAGTCATGTCGAGACCTTCGAGCCGGTTATCCGCTTCGTCCATAACCTTTCTCCCCACTCGCGAAGAACGGATTCCCTTCAATAAGAATGCTTCCAGCTCTTCCTCGGCCTCATCGGACGTTTCTCCCCCACTATCACCGCCAATGTCATCATCCTTGGCAATGCCTACGCCACTATCATCATGTTCCATACTGTTGTTGCTATCATTCCCGGACTGAGCACTCTCGTAATCAATTTGCTTACCACTGTCGCTGTCACTGTCGCTGTCACTATCAGCTGCTTGCTCCCTATCCGCCGGATTACTTTTGTTCCTTTTTCCGGCTTTGATTTTTTCGGTAAATTTTTGTTGTTTTTGTTCTTGAGCTTGGACAACCTGTTGATGCTTCTTACTGTTGAGGTGTGTCTGATATTGATTGTCTGACTTAAACGATTTGTTGCACCAAGAACACATATGTAAAGATCTTTTGTGCTTGGTGTCCTCATCTTCGTCATCCTCAAAATGTTGTCCCAGTGCCCTCATTCGTTGACGATCTTGTCTTCGTTGTTCTTCCAATCTGGCCATTTCCTCTCGTGCTTGTTGTCGTTCCAATTCTCGTTGCTTGGCCCGTTCTTTCTCCTTCTCCTCCTTCTCGAGGGCAATTTGATTCGCCAGGCGGGCCTGCATCACTTGCCGGTGAATAACTCTCGGGTCACGTCGTCTGACATGTTCCACCAGGTGTCTGATGAGCTCCACATATTCCTTCTTAGCCTTGGACTGAGCCTTCTTATTTTCCTGTTCCATCCGTTTCCGAATGTCACGATTAGGAGCATCCTTCAAATTCCACTGAGCCACATGACCAAATGAATAATGTGAAACGAAGCTTGACCAATCTCGATAGAACGATGACACATCCGACCACTCGGTATCCGCATTTCCAAAACACGGTCGGTTGTACTCAGAGTGACCTGCCGTAGTCTTCACTCTCAAACCACTTCCACAAACACCCAAACCACCACCACCACTATTCACGCCCCCATTATTCACGCCCATGCATTTCACATCTTCTTTATGGATGCTCTCAAACAGATCTCCGTAAACCTTAAAAAAATTCTTCGGCGAATCGGGTGCAACTTCTTCTTCATAACACGCTCGACTAAAATATGGCCAGACATTCACCACACCCAAACCTCCTGTCTCACTCGACATACCCAGAATCTCTGCACGATGCGCATCATACCAAGTACGCTCATGCTTGTCAGACAAAATTTCATACGCTTCCAACAAGTACTGGAAACGCGCCTTAGCCTCCTCGCTGTTCACATCACGCGCTTTGTCTGGGTGAAGTTTCAATGCCAACTTTCGATACGCCTTACGAATCTCCTCCTCCAACGCATCCTGTTCCACACCCAAAACCTCATAATAACATTGCTTCATTTTCCCCCCATAAATACGCCACCCGAAATCTATTGGTCGGAATGCGCCGGTCGAAATTCACCAATCGAAGTGCCCTGAAGTGCCCTGAAGTGCCGGTAAGAAAAAAATGGTCAAGTTTCAGAAGGGGTGGGGGGGGGGGGGTTGGTTTCAGGCCGGTAACCTTTAAGATGGTTCAACTCTGAAATCGGTCAACTCTGAAATCGGTCAACTCTGAAATCGGTCATGTCTGAAATCGGTCATGTCTGAAATCGGTCAACTCTGAAATCGGTCATGTCTGAAATCGGTCATGTCTGAAATCGGTCAACTCTGAAATCGGTCATGTCTGAAATCGGTCTCTGAAATCGGTCATGTCTGAAATCGGTCATCTCTGAAATCGGTCAACTCTGAAATCGGTCATGTCTGAAATCGGTCAACTCTGAAATCGGTCATGTCTGAAATCGGTCATCTCTGAAATCGGTCACCTTTACCTCTGAGGAATAACTTTATCAGGCTGAAAGGATGGAGCTAACAACTCTGGGAAGTCTTCTTCTTCTCCCAGCAATTCCGCAATTTCTTGATCCTTGGTAATGACAACATCAGCCTCTTCGGCTGGGGCAACGTCAGCGAACTTGTAGTCCAAGTAGTTCATTTCGTTGTCATTCCATCCGTTCACTTCCTCAAGTCCCTGTAGTTCTCGGAATTCATGCTCCAGCATGCCCATCCATCGATTGTGGGTTTCGGGAACGACATAGGAGGCTAGTGCGACGGGGTCGACGCACAGACAGAGGTCCGTGGGTATTTTGAAGTCCGTAGCTGCGGGGTAATCTGGGATGTATTTTTGAAAGAGATGGTGAAGGAATTTTTGCCGTTTGCCTTCGCTAGAGTTGGCGTGGCACGAGCAAGTGGAGATTAGTTGATAGCGAGCAAGCTCGGGAGAGTAGGTCATTTGCGGAACTGCGAGGCCGGTCTTGTCCACGAGGAACTGGTTGATGACGTAGAGCAATTCCGTGGCTGGTCGTCGTTTCTGACCAACTTCCAATACCTGATTAACTTCCGATACGTGGTTGGCCTCGGCGGCGTCGCAGTAACGTTTGGTCCTGAGCCACATGGCGGAGAGTACTCTTTGTCGTGTCCTTAGATTCAGGATATGTCTTTGGAAAGCGACCATTCGGGCTATCAGGTGATGGTTGTAGAGTACGTAAGGTGCGCTGTAGAGGTGTGTTCGTAGGGGTTCTAGGAAGTAGTTGTTCTGGAAGTCGTTGAGGACTTTTAAGAGTTCGGCAGAGATATCTTCAGGTGAGAGATTGCGTTTGCGGCAGGCTGCTTGGTTAATGGAGCAGAAGAGGAGTGGATGCCATGGCGTGGCATCGCGTTCTGCATCATCTCCGGTGGTAAGATTGAGTGCTGAGGCGAGATAGGCGGCGGAGGCTCGGGCTTGATATTGTCGGTCGTTGACTCCGGGATCCATGCGTCGACCAGTCGGTGGCCAGTTACGGTCGAAAACTACTTGGTCGAGCTCCTGAAGAAGTGCGTTGTACGCATTCTGCAATCGTAAGCGCTTGTCGCTGCGACCGGGGATGGCGTCTGGATTTACGCAACCTGTAATGGTCGCTAGCTCATGTAATGATGGAATGAGTTCCATATCGCGCAACAGGTTACTTAACCGGGTATTGTACGCACTCACCAACGGTACTGCGAAGGCCAAGTGCTCACCTGCACCGCGATGCACCAATCGTCGATCCACACAGAACTCCTGCACCCCCCCCATCTCGATGTTCGCCTTGAGTGGTGTTGACGGCGCACATTGCGGGTTCAAATCTCGCATGGCCGGTTCTGGAAACTCGTTCAAAGAACGCGCCAACTCCATCACTTGCGCTGCACTCACCGTAGTACAATAATGCGTTCGCACAAAGTTGTCGAACGCTCCCAAAGGCGACGATGTCTCCGAGCCTGCCATGTCCGCTCGGAATGAATTCTTTGCCATGATGTCATGCCACTGCAACCTCTTCCGCGTTGGCAACCACAACCATGTCTCCACCACATCCTCTTCCTCCGCGGCGGCTATCGCCGCATCCTCGGTCCCATCCTCGGTCCCGCTTTCTGAGGTGCTACTGCTGGCAGAAATTACCTCCGTGGAGACATTGTCAGGGTCGGCTGTCCGTTGCTTCTCTTCAAACAAAAATGCCAGAGTCGTGCCCTCAAAGAGTATCTTGCCGTAACCGTTAAGCAAGAGCCACTCTTCCGACGGCCCAAATCCGTCTACGTCGCAACTTGGTACAGAGAACAAGGTATTCAATATATCTTCATGAGGTCGTCGACTGCTTCGAGCCAGAAGGTCCAAATGGGGCCAGCATGATACCGGATAGTGAGTCCAAACCTGATTCATATATATTGGACTCAACCACGGTAGCACCAGTACCATACTCGCATCTTTAATCTCCCCCAGGCTACGCGCTTCCTCACTCGAATGCTTCCCACCATCCATATAGCAAATCCGGAACCCTCGTGGAAGCCACTCGCTTTCAATCGCGCTAGAAATATAGAACACACGATCGGTCATATCCACAAGCACAAAGTAGTCCAAAAACGAACTAGTGTTGACTATACACTTGAATTCAGAAACACTTAACTGTTCCTGATCCTCTCTCAATCGGTAAAACTTCAGCAGAGTACTCAACGTCACGACCCTCCTCGTATTAAGGTTCGCAACATATTTCGCCGGCTCAACAGTGCCATCTTCATTCACGCTGGTGCCTATTTCCCTAGGCATCTCCATCACCGAAAGGGACTCGGAGATATCTTCGGGTTGAGCACCGATTACCTTTTTGTACACGTGTCCATGATGACGGTTCATACTCATTTGGCTTGCACACGTTCTGAAAAAAAACACACGTGTGCTTCCATGCATTCTTCCGCGTATTGTTCCGTTTGTGTAACCTATTGCTTACGCCTGGAATGTATTTGTCTTTTCGTATCGCTCTAAGTAGTGCACGTAGAGAAGAGACCTAGGTATATTCCTAAGATGCTTATACGCAGGCCTCCTGTCCCAGCATTTCGGAATCTCGCCATCGTAACCAAGGTCGATATCATTACTGACACCAATAATTCTAGAAGCGTCGTTCACCTTGGTTTTAACCACGATTCTGAACGACTTAATAAGGTAGTTGAGATGCCTTTGCTTCATTTTCAGTTTGATTCCCATTACGGCGAAGGAGCCGTAAGATTTGTGAAGTATGCAAGGACGAAGATCGGTTTGAGTGTCGGAAGTGCTTTCTTCTAAGGGGGGGGTTAATGTTTGGGAAACGAGGGTAACTCTTCTTCTGGCATGATAGTGCGGTTCCGTAGTGATCGCGAACAACTCAAAATCTAGGGGATCGTGGGGTGAAATGGTTTCAAAGTCAATTCGACAAAGACACCAGATATCTGAGACGTTTTTCCAGCAAACAGCGGCTCGTCCAGGACGTCTGATGTACACAGGCAAGGAGTGTAGAGGAGCGTGGTCAGAGTTATCTGGTCCGTAGTCTTCGATGGATACTGTGTTATGCAGAGTGGTGGATAAATTCGTATAATTAGTGATACCACCATAGTAGCCGTTGTGAGCGTAGGCTAGAATTTTGGCTAGACTACCGTCCTCTGTGTCGCGGTAGAAGCCTTCATGGGTTATTATGCAGCAGGAGTCGGAGACATAGGGTCTTTGACAGTCTTCCATAGTTTCCCAGATCTTGCCGAGAATGCTATCCTTACAATCATAGTTAAGTTCTTGGAATCTTCGTTCTCTGCCAGACATTTCGGAAACCAAGAAGTATGGCAAACATGGGGACTTCCCCTTTGGCATTTTGGCCGTGGTACCCTGTTTCGCAAAATCAACTGAGAGTGAGGCACGTGCAGCCAGATCTAGGCATTCTGGATGTCGTCCTTTGAGCCCACGATACACGGAGCTGTCTAACATCTTATAGAGCCAACGCACACTCAGTAGACTTAGATTGTCGTAGCGATGGTAGTGTACAAACCATTCCTGTGGGGTCTCAATCTTCTTAATCTCCGAGTTGGCGTCTATTAACTCCGATATAACCGTTGGTCGTTCACCTGCTGTGAAGGGTATGGTATAATCACCAGGTGGATGTGGACATTCATCAGGGCAATCCAAAAATTTCTTTGCCGCTGGCTTTACAATACTTGGTTCCCAGATTATTTGAAACATGTCCCCATCCAAATCACCACCACTCATCATATTAGGTATATCCCGTGGACCATTATACGTTGTCCCTCTACTCCGATAATAACTATGATCACCATTACCGGGATGTCTGGGATGAACTATAGGACCTGGACCTGGGAACACAACCACGTCGACTAAATGATATAAACCAGGGTCATCGATAGCTTCACATACTATAATATCTCCTGGGTCATGTGAAGGAGACTTTGACACCAAGACATGACCTTTAATAACCCAGCAATCAGTATTCCTACTACCCTCTTCATCCAATTCGTCATCCAGCCTATAATTCAACGCCGTCTTAAATCCTAGCTCACTCTGCATCAAGGTATGACGGCTACGATGACTTATTTGAAGGAACACCTGGGGCATACCAATACCATTGTCGTACTTTAATATTCCAGTATTATCATTAACACCAAATGCCTGTGCTCCTTTAGGACAAGCAAGTCTAAACTCGTGCAAATCATCGCGCCATATCCACCTCCTCAAGTGACGAAGGCAGGACGTCATAAAAGGACTTGTCAACGGATCAAAACCAGTCCTTATCAACCACATTAAAAGGTTGCTTATTGCCGTAGCTGACTGCAACCTCGGAGTAAACAAAAAGGATAAAGCATTCCGTCTACTCTGAAATAAACCTACAAGGGAATCCTGCTCCTCCTTAAGCAAATTCAGGAAAGCGGAATCCGGTACATTCCAAGTACTCAGCAATAATATAAGGTCCTTATTCAACTGTAAACTAATAGGACGACTCCACTCACATATTTCTAAAGAGACAGCAGCGCTCTCAAATTTTTTCTGACTCTCCCGGAATGCAATATAATCCGGATTCTTCATATACGGATCAAATACAAGCATTCCTTTGTGACCCTTATACCGAATTTGTACAGCAGACGTCTGTAATTTAAGTCCTAATTCGCGTGTAATTTCCGAGGCGACATTACGACCCATTCTTCCAATACCATCGGTAAAGCAAAATGTACTAGCCGAATTTAATCTAACTGGTGTGCATACGTCCGGTTCAATCATCCTCTTATCTTCTTTCACAACCAGACCTTGTTTAGACGCTGTGAAACATTGACCTAGCCTAGCCGCTCTTTTGCCGATAAACTTGTCTTTTACAGTACCCAATTCCCGTAACACTTCTTCATCTTTCTTTAAGCCGCCGTCCAATTTGGTGGTGGCATCCTCTGAAAAAGCCCAGAACGAGCATTCTTTTAACTGACTGTTACCATAAGCGAGATATTCGAAGGTATGGCAACCAAATGGGAAACCGGTTTGGAATGTCATATTCAGCTTATGGCTCAACAGACGCTCATCAAATCGGTTGTAATGACTCCGCTGCCCCTCGGTGTCAACGAATGTCGCTCTCATAAATTGATGAAGCGAATCAATATACTTTCGTAACACACGATTCGACGACTCAGTGTAAGGACCCATAATACATGTCCTGGAAGGCATGATATATGCATGATACAAGGTGACCGTGTCTGCAGTAGTTACTGGTAACGGGTGCTGGAAATGAAAAGCCTGGGAAAGAGCGTCATCATATGTTTTTCGAATGTTCGTAAGTCGTCCTTTCCGTTTGGCACACTGACATAGAGTGATAAGGGCTGAATACATTATTGGATCTTGGTATTTTCCTGACATAAGATCCGCTGCTAACGCGCGCGATGATTTTTTGGTAGTCCTTTGCCGGTCCATATAATCGGCAATATACCTCTTAGGATACCATCCATTTTGAACAAGTTGTACCATAGCGCCATAGCAGAGGTAATTGACTCTACGCTTCCAAAGTAATGTAAAATATTCTTGAGTTTTTAGTTCAGTATTTTCGACAGGTAGAACCAGCCGAATAACTTTGGCTGCACCACGCGCATCGTCAGCTGACCGTATCCCGGCTCGTCGTGGTTTCCAGATCCTGTAGTATGAGAGGTGCGATAGGATATCACCGATCTTATCCATTGACCATCTTGTCACATCGAATCTAGTACCCGCAGTAGGTAACAAACGTATTAGAAATGTCATTCCAGTTGACTTGAGCATAGTGTTAGCTAGCGCTCTTTCAATAGGCCATGATCCGTCGACTTTCTTAGTACGATGTGGACCACTTCTGGTAGCATAATCGTGATGTACGAACGTAGGCAAGAACAAATTGGAATCGATGTGAACTGAAAATTCCTCATCTTTCTCTCGCTCCTTATCCTCGTGATTGCCGTATCGGAATACTTGGAAAGCGGAGTGACAATGGAAGCTGAATAACAAAGGCTCCGTCAGACGGTCAGCCATCTCATTAACATGAGCTTGGTCCAGGAATTCGCGTTGTCGAATATCCAGAAATGAATTGTACGGAATAGCGACCGAAGGGCTACTTATCAAATGCCAATGGTATACTACGAATTTTATCGGCGATTTCAGGTAATTGGCTGTAGTTCTTTCAGTTATTTTGTAAGGCTTAATATCGTACGTTAGTAGTTGACCATATATCTCCATTCGATTATGATAATACATGATACCAAAACGATATTTGAGCTGACTCCCGGAAGGTAGCAGAAACCCCACTAGATAATCCCATCTCGCACTGGGTCCGGTTCTACCATTGTCGGGTAACGAATTACCTCCAGCTGGAACTAAGGTAGGATCGAAAACCATCCGACCTGTTAACGGCCCAGCCATCATATTGTTATGAAGCAAACTTCCTGGATATATTTCGACTGTTTGAATCAGATCGTCTTTTCCCAACTTCCTTTCTGATATCATTCTTGCTTTTTTCTTCGGTATATTTTTCAACAACTCCGTTCTTATATGACTACTAAAAATCATATTCTCCGCAAACAATGCTCTGTAAGTATCCCTACTCTCATCATATCGTGATGTCCCCTCAAATTTAAGATCAAATTCTTTCCCGGTTCTTGTAGTAAATTTCATATTATGAAAGAAAGCCAATCTCATCTCTATTGAAAACAAGTGAATTGATATCTCTTTTAACACCGAATCCTTCTTATCATATCTTTTATCTATCACATTCTTGACACATGCAATCTGTGACAAACAAGCTTGGACTTCTGCTGCAGAAATTAAACTTCTACCTGCAATTAAGCAATCGAATGTACCTTCTGTAAATGTCTTTTTGAAATACTCATAATCATACCACGTACTGTGCCGTGTCACAGTACCATTCGGCCAGTCACGGTCTGACTCACTAAAAAGACATCTGGGCCATCCAACAAGACTACTACTTACCACTCGTAAACATAACCGTTTACGTCCTTTAATTGGAACTTATGTGACCCGAAATCCCGTCCCGTTCTCCACATGAATATATAATATATTTACGAAATACTCCCAACCTCGCACATTCCGGGCTCGCACATCTCCCAACCTCGCACATCTCCCAACCTCGCACATTCCGGGCTCGCACATCTCCCAACCTCGCACATCTCCCAACCTCGCACATTCTGGGCGGCTGACGACTATTAGTATGTGTGTGGCCACACACATACACATCGTATGTGTTAAATCTCCGATTCCGATTAATCGTTATGGTTGGAGTGTGTAGGTATGGAGTGTGGGTTGTGTTCACAAAAAGGATGTTCAGGCCTTGGTGTAAGCTGCAAACGCTTGTAGGAATTCGTAGTCCTTGGTTTGGCCATCATAGCTAGAGCAATCGACGCTGACACTTTGGCTGCTAGGGCAGGGATGGTCGCGAGCCACGGACCAGTTGGAGAGCATGCCGATCTTCTTTTCTTGCCAGTGGGCGAGATTGGTTTTAGCTGCTTCCAGAGTGTAAGTGAGACAGGTAACATCGTTCTTGCCGAGCATGGGAGTACTACCAACGAATGCATAGACGTCCTCTTTAGAGTGCCAGAGATATTGGCTTGCTTTATTTCTGGTGCTAGCGAGATCGAATAGTTGTTCGACGAGGTTGTCGATGGCGTCACGTTCGCACTGGTCAATGCGCGCGTTGTCACAAATAGTGGGACACTCGCCGTAGTCCATGTTCATGACGTTGATGATGTCGAAAGGTGCGTCCTGATCCATCATTTGTCCGAAGAAGTTTACACCGTCTAGCGTTAGACCGGTGGGCAGGATAGGTAGCGTCCATGTGACGTGCAAGTTGGGCCGCGCCTGCTTCAACTGTTTGACGGCTTCGAATCGGTATTTCCACCCGGTGTTGGCCTGGACCCCAGAGTATGCCAGTCCCTCGATATCGAAGTCGATACGCGTCGAGTTGGTATAGTCCAGAATACGCCCGTATTCCGCAACCAGATTAGCCACAGCATCGCCCGTCTGGCACTCTGCTGAATCTGCTAACTCAGTCCCGTTGGCACCGCCGAAGGAAATGACAAAATCACCACCCATTTCACGCAGCTTCTTCAACTCATCATACAGGTACGAGAACTTGCCATCCTTCTCATAAGTCGGTCCCGCCTCGATAGAAATGGCACCTGCAAAGGCGCCATTACAGCCACCAGTTTTAAGCGATGGCTCACTGGTTGAAACAACAAAGGCCACAACATAATGGTCGACACCATAGTTCTGAGCGAGTTCAGTGAGGGGTGGCCATCCGTAAAGTCCAGAGTCAAAGTAAGGTGCGTATACCTGCTTGGGCCACGACGGCTTGGACGCAGGCATCTCGCCATTCCACCAAGCGAACTTTTGATGGTTCTTAGCGTCAGTACAGGCAGCGTCATCCTTTTGATGTGCATTTCCACACCATTTATAGTAACACTTCTCTTCAGCAACGTCCTTACAATACACCTGGCCGTTCACTATAGTACCACAATTATCGCAGCAGGAACAGGTCAGATCCAGCATCCATTGGGGCGGCAATGGAGTAGGATTCTCAGGTCCCTTGGTGTCCGTACCTGTTAGACACTTGCCTACATAGGCCCATGGCTCCGAAGTTAAGGAAGGCTTCTCGCCCTCATTCCAATACTTGGACTTGTACAACCCGCCCTCGCTGTGAACCTGCTGACCCTCCTGGGCATATATCGCACGTGGATCCCATGCATATATCTCCGAACAGTCCTCCGTTCCCGGAGCATTCGACATACCATCGCCCATTGTGCCAGCCTCGCACTGACCAATCTTAGTCCACGGACTCCAACCCAACGAATCATCACCCGGTATGTTGCTCACGTCAACCCATGTCGTTGACTCATACGCAAAGCCGTCGTAGTAAACCTTCCACGTGTTGCCCATCGGCGGGTTCCCAGACGTCGAAGGCGTCCACGGTACGTACGCCGAACAATCCACATCCGCCCAAGCGCACACAAAAGCAATCGTCGACAGACTCACGGCTCGCATTCTCTACACAATCTCGCACACGCGCCCACACAATTTGGCATGCGCCTTCTCAATTTGGCACCCCCCCCCCCCCCCAACTGACCAGTGTACTTCAGTGTATGCAATGTGTCCTGTGTGTGCAATGTGTCCTGTGTGTGCAATGTGTCCTGTGTGTAACCACAGCCACAACATTGGTGGTTAATGCACCACTTTGTGGACCACTCGGTGGGCCAGGTGTGGACCACTAAGTGGGTCAGGTGTGGACCACTGGGTGTATCTGGGCGGCGGGGAATAAAATTGTTGGTGGAGTACTGGGACTTGTGGTGTGTATGTCGTTGTCCCTGAAAGCCGTTAGTGCGGATGGGTACTATCAGCCAGCCGATTTTGATGCGAGCAAGCATGGGACTTTGAATCGGATCAACAAAACACATCGCCTAGGACGAAGGAAGCGGCCGGATGGGACTGTGGTAGTCCGGTTTGAGATGCCATACAAAGTGTGGTGTCTGAATTGTAACGAGATCTTGGCGAAAGGAGTTCGGTTCGATGCTCGGAAAAAGCAAGCTGGGTCGCTGGGACCGGGTTGCCCGATCTTCGAGTTCTACATGACATGTCTCTTTTGCAAGAATCCTATCACCATCAAGACGGATCCGGAAAGTACCGAATATATCTGCGTGGAGGGTTGCCGACCCCGAATCGAACATTGGTCGGAACGAGCGGAAGAGGAGGAAACGATCCATGACGCTACCGGCTGCGCACCCACAAGCCCCGAGCCCGAATCTCACCGGGGGACTACCGTAGATGACCATCGGGACGTTGATTCTCGGGACGTTGATTCTCGGGACGTTTATTCTCGGGACGTTGATTCTCGGGACGTTGATTCTCGGGACGTTTATCCGCACGTTTACCGCCAAGTCGATTTCAGGTCAGTGGCGGAGTTGAAGGAACTCGATGACAACCCTCTAATTAGGAGACAAGTGCGCAAACATGATCAAGATCGACATCGAAATAACTTCGAAAGATTACGATCCATAAAACTTCTGAGCGATCGCGCTGGCCAGGACGATGCTCTAAACAACGCGGCACTGAGAAATGCCTATAGAACAAAAGGCGGACTGACCACGACTGCGGAAGACAACGCCTTGGTGAAAGACAAAGTCTTGGCGGGACGCGGGTCCAAAGCGGGAGCCTTCAACCCGAACTTCGTCCTACCTGTCCTAGCACTGACAGAAAACGAACAAGCAGCCGCCAGAGCCACCTTGGACAAATACAGATCTAAAAAACCGCCCAAAGATCGAGTAAAGACCTTAAAATCAAAACTCAAAAAACATCTAGCAATGTGACCGGGTGTGTCAGTAACCGGGTGTATCAGTAACCGGACGTGTCAGTAGCCGGGCGTGTCAGCATCCGGGCGTGTCGACAACATGGCCTACCACCTCGCCCTTATATTTCCTTTTGTTCAGAAAGGGATCACCTGCATCACTTTTTCCCCCCACTTCGGTCTGTGTTAGTTGACGGTGGCTGGTAGGAGGGAATTACTTGCAGCAGAGACTGGCTCGGACTTAACTTTTCCTTTCATAGGTTTCCCTTGCCAAGTCCAGCATGCGCTAATCAGGGCGCCGAATTCCTTACAAGCCAGTTGGTGTTTTTGCTGTCGATCCTAAAGGTCGTCCATCAGTGGAGCCGTATAACGTTTTTTCATGCATGTTCGCAGTCGTACCTTTTGGTCAGCTGAACATCGCGCTACAGGTCGGTCGAACAACGCACGGTCTGACTACACTGATGAGGTGCTGTCCAAGTTGTAGGTTGTCGTGATCGCAGTAGTTGATGTTGCAAAAATTTCTATCGCTCTGGAGGACAGATATAGAGCACATGGCTAGCCGCCAAATCTCGTCTTGTCAAGCCTTTGCCAAGCCTTTGCCAAGCCTTTGCCAAGCCTTTGCCAACCCTTTGCCAAGCCTTTCATCTTGACGAATAAAGCTATCTGCACAGAACAACATCATCCACTCTGAGAAGCATCATGACCATTTCGGTGGCTAAATTGATAAGGGACTGGCTGACCAGGGCAGGTTGGACGATATTGAGTTCCTCAACGATGTTGTCGCATACCGTGCCCTTCTTAACATCCACGGCGGCGAACTTTAGTCCCTGGTTGTGTTTATTTCTCAAAGCAGTGACAATCTCAATGGGCCGAAGACCCGCGTTCTCTGCCAGAGTGTATGGAATCACCTCCAAAGCCTTTGCGTACTCGCTGACGCACAGAGAATTAACTCCCCCCAGAGACAGAGCCCTACAAGACATGGAAGATCCAGAAGAGTGCAACCACCCATAAACTGAGATCTATGTCCCCATAGATCTAGACCCAGATGGTAACCCGCAACCTACTCCCCGTACCCCCAGACGTCGCCCCGTACCCCCAGACGTCGCCCCGTACCCCCAGACGTCGCCCCGTACCCCCAGACGCATACCCCCCGTACCCCCAGA